TTATTAGTGGATTTTGAAAAAATCTGTGTGGTGGCTTTAAGGAAAAGATGTTGAACGATTTTCATTAACAGAACATGTAGATAAAGATTTCTTATATTTACGCGAACACTAAACATTGATTCAAACTACTTTTACGGATTTTATCGCGTTTATTTATGTTATTTTTAATACTCGGACGTTTCGGGTGCTTTCCAGCACCCATGGTCACGGGGGACATGGGGTACAGGGGAATAAACGCGATAAAATCCGTAAAAGTAGTTAGAACATGTAAATATGAAATTGTTACAACCTTATCTCAAAAAAGGTCAAAACGTTACAATGGATACTTTTCACATCTCTAAAATTTAGCAGAAAAGCTAAGATCTGAAAATACAAGTTTTGTTGGAACAAGGAGACGAGCAAGATGAGAAGTACCTCCAATTTGTAGAAACATTTGTACACAACGATAAGAAACCTTTATTTCGAAATTGGCAACAAACGCAACCCTAACAGTTTATCTAGGTAAACCAGGAAAAAATGTCATTATCTTGAGTACACTCTATCAAAGTGTTCATATAGATCTGATTTAAAAAAACTTCCTGAGACTGTACAATTTTAAAACGAAACCAAGGTAGGCGTATACATAGTTGACCAAATGGCACAAAAGTACACCGTAAGAGCTACAAGAGGATGGATAGTCCATGTCTTCTACAACATTATAGAATTTGCCGCTGTAAATTTATGGTTTGTTTATAGGAAAATTAAAGAAAGGTGAGCTGAAGGTGGGGAAATTTGGTATAGAGCAACGAAATCCAAGTGCCAAGGCCAAATTCATGGACAAAGAGGGTCTCTTTTTGATGAATTCTCTCTTCCAGAAGCGGCCTCACAGAAAGTGCACCTGGTCGAGTTCCGATGGTCCGAAAATAAATTAGATTAACTTCATAATGACGACTAAATGGCAACTATTCAGTAATTTCTCAGTGATCGCAAGGGCAAAATCTGTCAGCGATCACCGAATGGTTAGAGGCACACTGAACCTAGACGTTAAGTTAGAGAGGTCTCGTCTAATGAATTCAACACTACATCCTCCTCATGCTCTAATTCAAAGACCCGAAACCCTTCAACTCGAGTTACAAAACCGTTTCCAGTGCCTAGAAACTGTTCATGTGGTCAGAGCTAATTTCTGTAAGACCCGCTGCAGAAGAATACAAAAACTCTCCAATCACACTCTTAATATCATGGCTGTTAAACGGGAGATGAATCTGCAGTCGTCAGCAGATTTGAATGCATTCAGGCATTTTAACTACATATATTGATATTATGTCGGAAATGGTGTAACACTATAAGCAATTGTGTTGGAAATTCAACAGGATAGCGTTAATTATTAAAAATGGTACAAAATGTGAGAGCTGATATTCAACTTGCTCTCTTGCTTGCGCAATTTATTGTTATCAAAATAGGACAGCGTAACGCTCTCATTCAGCCATAGAGTCGAATTACAGTATGACCGTACTGCAGTGTGTCCATGCAGTACGGTCAAACTATAGTATATAGCAGTATATATATATATATATATATATATATATATATATATATATATATATATATATTTATATTTTATGTATGTGTAGCATGTACATTTTTGAATTGGATGTGATTAAGACAACTTTACTGCACATAACTCACTCTCTGTTCTACCACCCAAGGTTAGTTTGTAGAGAATGCCATATAGCATTAAGCTTGCCTTTTGTACAAAATCTTTGGTGCAGTAAAATAAAAAAATAAAATCTCCAAATGCATGCGGTGGGACTAACGCAACTTCAATACAACTCGTATTAAAGAAGCGATTAAGAGGAACCAAGGCTCCAAAGTCTTTGCCAGATATCTGTCTGCCAGAAAGAGCCAACTGTCAAAGCTGAAGACTGAGTGTGGCAGCATCGTTTCCAGGACACCTGAGATTTTGAGTAAGATTGACAGGTTCTAAGGGCAACAGCAGCAACGATCCAAGAGCAAGTCTTATCCGACACTACTCCAACAATATCACGGAAGTCAGTTTGAGCGAGATTAGAATGGCTCTTTAGCACCTTAAAAACTGAAAGGAACACCTATCCTTAAAGTCCTTCGGAAGCTTTTTAATTCCTTCTTCCGTGTCGGCAATAATCCGGAGTTGTGAAGCAGAAGTGCGGTGGTCTTGTTCTTCAAGAAAAGCGTCAATGCTCTCTTGAAAAACTATATACCGATTTTCCTTCTGAGCCGCGTCTACGTGTTGTTATCGAGTCATTACAATTCGTCTCGCACGCAGATTAGACGACTTTCAGCCTTGAGAACAATTTGGTTACAGAAAAGGCTTCACTACCATAGACCACATATATACCCTGTGCCAGATTGTGCAGAAGACCGAAGAGTACAATCTGCCACTTTGCCTGGCGTATATGGACTAAGAGAAATTTGGGTGGTGTTATAGTCCCTTCAGCGGTGTCAAGTTGACTGTCGGTATATCGAAATGCTGTGGTGTTTGTACAGTAGGGCTACGATGGCTATCCGAGTACAGAAGCAGAGTACGTAACCTATCCAAATGCAGAGAGGTATAAGACAGGGTGACGTTATATCCCCGCTGTCACCTCGAAACTCTTCACCGCTGCTTTCGAAGACGTTTTCAACTAATAAACTGAAAATTATACGATACTAACATCAATGGTGAATACATCACTCACCTACGATTTTCCGACGATATAGTCCTTATGGCAGAATCGCCGAAGGACCTAAGCACTATGCTCAATGACCTCAATAGAGAGGGATAGGTCTTATGATAAACACGTACAAAACAAAAATCATGTGTAACGTCCATGTCACACATATGCCGATCTTTAGAGAGGTTGAGGTTATGGAGAGGGCTGTACTTGGGGTTTATCAGCGTGATAAACTTAGACATGAGGTTATTCACAGTAGAACCAGAGTGACCTACATAGCTCAACAGATCAATAAGCTGTAATGGCAATGGTTGGTCGTATAGGTCGAAGAAACGATGATGGTGGGGAGATAGGTTTCCAAGTGGCAGCCTCGTACCAGTGGGCGAATTGCAGGACGACCCCGTACTAGATGGAGTGACGACCTGGTAAAACATGAAGGAAGGAAGTGGATGCAAATGACTTAATACCGTGCTTTTTGGCATTCCTTGTTGGATGTCTGTTCAGCAGTCAACTTGTAAAGGGCTGTATAATGATGACGAAGATGATGAATTCATGATAGAGATACTTGACGCTAGCGAGAAAAAAAGCATTTGCGATATTTTATTTCGCATGAAAATCGCTATATAACTATGATCCCGAAACATAATGTCACCGCGTGGGGGAGACAATAATAATTGATTACATCTTTTTTGTGCAAAACACGTCTCATTGCTACTGTAATACTAAGGGATCAATAAAACGGTTTACTTCAAGTGATCAGTGACATTCTTTCCCAAAAGCATTATAAGGTTTGTGTGACAACAGGCTGAAGTCAGGAATCTGTCACTTTCTTTGAAGCCATGGTAATATGTGGCACCATCGCAGCACCACGTACGTCTGTTAAAATACTTGACTTTTTAATTAAATCAAATTTGTTTATCCTATCTCATAAAAATATCAATTATTTTGCAACCTTCCGCTAACTAAATACAATGATGTGTCTTACCTATTGGAGAGCACCTCCCGCCCTCCCTCAATTGCGTGCAGTAATTCCGTCACCACTAGTCCCAGTACCACTACTCCCAACACCACTATTCCAGGTAAGACGCACTATCGATGGTATGTCTTACCTGGTTAAAATAAGGTTATATATAGGTTAAAATAAAGTTACTTTAGAGGGAGCAAATAATACAAAACTCAAGAGGCTGAATTCTGTGCACCGCCAAAATATATTTGCGAATAAATTGTAATAAAAAGTCTAATTCAATTTATAGAATTACGGAAGTGTTTTAAAATAACATTGGTTTCCACTTTTAGCTGGAAATTGTTTTAGAGAGGAAAAAGATAATTACTAGTACACAAGCAAATATTTTTATTTCGTTGCTTGGATTTATTTATGTGTAAGGATTTATTGAATTTTTACATAATCCTAGATATATGCTCCTCATAATAGAAGGTAAATCGGTCCGATTTAATGATTTTTCTATAAATTAAGATGCCCATATTTTTTAATTAAATGTAATAGGTCAATTACCATTCCGTATGCTAAGAGGCCTTCTCTTAGCATACGGAATGGTAATTGAGTCTTAAGAGGTTGGGTCAACCGATTTTTGTATTCGTTCTACACGGTCGGGTGGTTGACTCAACTTGTCAGTTGTCTCTAGTATTTAAAGAGTAAAGACGTAAGGACGTACTTTTAAAAATGGCTTCTTGCTTTTCTAAACAACAAAAAATCGGTTTAGCTTTAACGTTTTTGTGCTTGAGTGAAGATGAAAAAAAAGAAAATGGATGAAATTGTGGCTGAAAGAGCGCATTACTTTAAACAATCTCAATATTTTAAGGATTCTTGATTCTGAAGACTTTCGGAATTTTCTAATAATGGATCGAGATACTTTTATTGAATTACTTGAGATGGTGCGTCCAATGATTACAAAAAAAATACAGTTATGCGTCAAGCCGTGTCTGCTGAAGAACGATTAATAGCTACATTAAGATTTTTGGCTACGGGAAGAAGTTATAAAGATCTGAGATTTAGTACAGTTACATCATTTCAATTGCTTTCAAAAATTATACTTTATAAACCTCCAAGAAGAAACAAGGATTTGTTTGTAAAGGAGCTTGGCAGGTATATTTCAAACTATGACACTAATAAAAACCTCTTATTAATCGACGATTCCAACATTGACCTAAAAACCATTTCATCTTACAGGGACACTTACTTGCAAATACTCAGCGAGCGCGGATTGATGTGCGGAATTTCAAACTATACCAGAATTGAAAAATTATACCAGAAACTTGTTGGGCGATATACAAGGCTTTGAAGAAAACAATCAAGCTAGTGTACAATGACATTTATTTATCCTTTTCAAATATTACAAATTCACTTATTGCACTAGCCGGTCCTTCGTATATTATTCTATTCGTATGTGATGGTATGGTAGGGTGCGATGGTGATGTTTGGGTGGGATGTGGTGATGGTGATGGTTTCGTAGGATGTGGTGATGATGATGGTTTGGTGGGATGTGGTGTTGGTTTGGTGGGATGTGGTGATGGTGATGGTTGGGTGGGATGTGGTGATGGTTGGGTGGGATATGGTGATGGTGATGGTGATGGCTGGATGTAATATGGAGATGGTGATGACTGGATGTAATTTGGGGATGGTGATGGGTGGCTTTGTTGTGGTGATGTTAATGACTGAATGTGATATGGAGATGATGATGACTGAATGTAATTTGGGGATGGTGATAGTCGGGTATATTGTGGTGATGATGACATCTGAAAAATAGGGAAATTTCGAGATCTTTTTGTTTCGATTCTTGAATCAAAATTAAGGTTCCCTGTTTTTGCAAGAAAAAGGACATCAGAAATTAGTTTCTCAGCCACTTGGCGTTGAAATGTTTCAACCTGATCTAGTTGTTCTCCTACGTACAAGCCAAATGAGTTTATTTCCTTCTGATTTTCTTTTCTATTATCGCTTTGCAATAATTCTTGTGCAGTATCTATTAATTTCCTTTTTTTAATTTCCAAGATATTTAACTTTTTTCTGCCCTTCTCATGTTCTGATGGTCTGGATTCCTGAAAAAAAATATATTTGTTTCAGTTACCCTCATCGAAATATGAATGGGATATGGCTGCGAAATCTTTTCAAGAACAATGGCAATTTCACAACTGTGTAGGTTGCATGGATGGCAAGCATATTTTAATTGAAAAACCATCTGGAACGGGATCATTGTTCTACAACTACAAGGGTACATTTAGTGTGGTGTTGTTTGCAATTGTCAATGCAAACTACGAATTCATTTATGTTCATACGGGTTCAAATGGAAGTATGTCAGATGGAGGAATACTCAAAGCCACCAGGTTCTATGAAAAACTTATCAACGATGACCTTAAGTTGCCAGAATCATTTATACTGCCAGGTACAAACTTAACAGTACCGTATGTTTTTTTAGGAGATAGTGCGTTTGCACTTGAAACAAATATAATGAAACCATTCCCCGATAAGAACATCACTAAGGAGAAAAGAATATTCAATTATCGTCTATGCAGAGCTAGAAGAGTTGTTGAAAATGCTTTTGGCATTCTTGCTTCACGTTTCAGAGTATTTAGGCAACCTATTAGCGTTAAAATTGAAAACCTGGATGCAATTGTTCTAGCCAGTTGTGCGTTACACAACTTTCTGAGACAAAAAGTCGAAAATTTATTGGACCCCTTCAAGTGCTGACTATGAAGACTTACAACATGAAATATTTAGACCTGGAGAATGGCGACAACAGGGTACCCTAACCCCTCTTCATCGAACTGGTGAAAGGAATACTAACGAGGGGCAGGAAGTGAGAAAAACCTTAATGGATTATTTTAATACAACTGGCAAAGTATGCTTTCAAGACAAAATGGTTGAAATAGTTATGGAAAGAAGAGAATAAAATTGTTTATGATATTTCTTTAGTAATTTGGGCCATTATAAGGGGGTAGGGGGAAGAGGGGGGGACATACTATTAAAGGGGGCTCTCCCCCTTATACATCACCAGAAACATTTAAACTTTACTTATGCTTAACCAGAAACATATAAATTTTACTTTTTTTTGCTTTAAAAAATCTTGGTCAAGACCAATTTATAATTTATAGCACCCAACCAACAAGTAGGTACCTACTTTTTTAATTTATGTAACCCAATTTTATTTTAAAATAAAATATTCATTGACTTCCGGTCTATTTACTAAAAAATCATCAATCACCTATCTAGTGGACAATCGAAATTATACGAAAACTATAAGAATATTAGAAGTTTGTAATTTCGTAAGATAGTTTTGTAATTTGTTTTTATGATTTTGTAATTAAACGCTATACGAAATCCTTTATCTATTTTAGGAGCAAATTATGTCAAAGTAAAATTTACCTTAAGAATTTGTTTAGGCTATTTTTCAAAATATTAAAATCACCTAGGTGGATTGAAAAGTACTCGGCCTAACACAGATCCATTCAATTCTAAAAATCAAATCTACCCACATTATTTAGTTCAGTTCAGACTAGTTCATTGTGTGAAGTTCGAAACGTGTGCGATAATTAGTTGTGATTTTGTAAATTTATTAACAAAGTAATCGGACATAATTTCCGCGAATGGAGCAAATCGAGCAGCGTGCCGTCATTAAGTACCTCCATAAGAAGGGGCTATCATCAAAAGCCATCCATGATGACATGGTCAGTACATTAGGCGATTGTGCTCTGTCATATTCATCCGTCAAAAAATGGATAGCAGAATTTAAGCGTGGTAGAGAGAGTGTGAAAGATGAACCCCGCTCTGGAAAGCCTTCGACGTCAACTACTGACGAAAATATTAAAAAAGTACTTGATTTAATAATGGGAGACCGCAGATTAAAAATTAGAGAGATAGCCGAGATTATAGGCATCTCTTATGAACGAACTCAAAACATCATTGTCAACGAGTTGGGTTTCCACAAGGTGTCTGCGAGGTGGGTTCCGCGACTGCTTTCAGTTGAACAAAAAAGGACGCGATTGACTATTTCACGCGACTGTTTGGAGTTATTTGAAGCCGATGCAGATGATTTTTTGAATCGTTTTGTTACTATGGACGAAACATGGGTTCATTACTGTACACCGGAAACAAAACAACAATCAAAACAGTGGAGAAGACCTAGTTCACCACCCCCTAAAAAGGCTAAGTCGATTTTGTCGGCAAATAAGGTGATGGCTTCAGTTTCTGGGACTCGAAAGGTGTGATTATGATTGATTATCTTGAAAGGGATCAGACTATAAACTCTGATTACTACTGCACCTTACTACGTCGTTTACGAGAGGAAATAAAAGAAAAACGTCGAGGAATGCTCAGAAGAAAAGTCCTGTTTCATCAAGATAACGCCCGTGTTCACACGTCAGTACAGTCAATGGCTGAAATTCACAACTGTGGCTTTGAACTGTTACCGCATCCGCCGTATTCACCTGATCTGGCACCATCAGACTTCTTTCTGTTCCCTAACCTAAAAAAACACTTGGGAGGTCAAAGATTTTCGACAAACGACGAGGTCAAAGCAGCTGTAGACGCATATTTTGACTCTAAGGAAGAATCATTTTTTTTCAACGGTCTAAATGCTTGGAAGGGGAGGTGGCAAAAGTGTATTGAACTTGACGGTGATTATGTAGAAAAATAAAAATATAACTGACTTAGTATATGTTTATTTTCTTGGTTAGGCCGAGTACTTTTCAATCCACCCTCGTATGTACTCACTTCATCACTGGACAGCGTGTCTACCCCGCATCTTGATTGTTCATCTTTCTTGTCAAAAATAGGCAGCAGCAAATTATAGTACCACAGGTTAGGAACATGGACATCATTGGCTCCTGCTCCCGTACGTTTTGATTCTTTAACCTAAATAATTAACAAGACAAGGATAGGCTAAGACTAGGATAGTTATCATGCAGCCCTTTTGTTTTTATTATAAGGACTTAAAGATTATTTAATTACAGTTAATGATGAATAGAAAATTGTGTATATATATTTCGTTTAAAGGTTATGTTAGTAGTCTATCTACTAAAATCATTATCTACATTAAAAATGTAAGTAAAAACTAATGCTATATTTGTCTGTGAAATATAGTATATAAGTATAAGTAATAATAAGTAAAGTATAGAATAATTGGCAACGAATGACATTAACTAGCAAAAAATTGATATAATGTCAACGGGATAAACTTCTTTATTTGAAACTATTGAAGGAAAAGAAAGAAAAAACTTTATTTAAACAAAAGTAGGTATTATAAAAAATCACCTTTTTGTGCTCTCTATTGAAAGCCGATCGCATATGCTCAATTTTTTTCTTGATTGCAGCCAAGTTTGCCTCAGGTTCAATTTCTTGAAGCTTGTCCTTTAAAAGCTCCCATGATTGCATTTTTTTATTCCTGTCCTTATACAACTCCGATCCAATATCCCAAAGACAATGTAAATCACAGTACAGTGATAAGAATTCGGTCAGGACCTCACGTTCTTTGCTTCCGTTCGTATCCATAGTGCCGCTAAACATCCGCCTGCGACGACTGCTAAGCGCGCAATGAGGCGCTCTCGTCGGCCGACAGCGTTCCACACGGTCGGCGTCAACCACGGACCCGACGTGTCGTGAGGGCTGCGCTCGCGACCAAGGCCGTCGGACTCAACCAAAATATTGGTCAGACAACCGATGTCTACACTGTCCATTTTTACATCAACCCGACCAAGGTCACGACGGTTGGTGGTTGGTCCCGACCGTGTAGAAGGCCTATAAGCATGTCAATTTCGGAATATCGTTCCTATTTGGAAGATACCTACAATTAGCGAAAATCCTGTTTATATTTCATTATTATTTAGGAATTGAACAAAGTAAATTGTAATTAGTCCTCTTAGTTAAATTTGTAAGTTACACTCTTTATCGGTCTCACTGCATGATAAAGGCCTGGTTTTATTTCTAAGAGGGTTTTTTTAGCACAAGGAAATGGCCGCCGCGCTACCCCAATGCGTGTTGGCTGACTTAACATGTCTTCAAAATATAAGTTTTATTTCTTGAGAGATGCAGATTTCTCACGAAGTTTTACCTCAACGCCGAGAATGTAGTAAATTTTCACTTATAATTACATTTAATTGACCCGTTCTACCTGACCTTCTGCATGGATTAATTGGAGTTAGAGAGAGATTAAGCAGTCTAACCTCTAGCATATTGTCTTTTTACATTCAAACAAGAATGACAAGCAAGCCTATTTATTGGTAGTAATAAATATTTTCGTATGGATAATAAATATATTATATCGATGAATAATAATACAAAACCTATAATTGTTTCAGGTCTAGATGTTTGTTCTTGTGAAATTTATGTGTTTTACTTGCCTCCACAATACAAGCGAAAATCTTAGTTTGGGGTAAAGATTAAAGAAAATTATAATACAACATTATATTTATATTTTATTAGAAGATATATATTTTATAACACCACGCGTTTCTGCCAATCTGTATTCAGAGTATTTCTTATACGATAAGATCAGAGGTTTGAGGTGAGCTCGAAGATTTTGCATTTCAATTAGACAAATGTACGTCCTAACACTGGTCGCTATCCTTATACAAACATATCGCGTGACCGATGTAACGCTCCTGCGGTGAGATCGGAGTTAGAATATAGCTAAAGTAAAATATTAAAATAACAGAGTTAGTTCTGCAAAATCAAATTTCATTAAATGCTAACTTCGGCTGTGATGTAACTAAGAACATATGCATAAGTTATGAATTTTGTCCACTAAGCCAAAATATAATAAAAATAAAATATTGACTCAAGCGTTGGTTTCGCCATTTTTTCTCTTGACAGTAGCGATTCTTTTCTGCATGCAGAGAAGATATGAACCTCTTACACATCGTACCGAGTATCTAAAGCCTCCAGAGATCTTATATAATCAGTGCCTGATTTAGAGTTCTGACAGCTCAAGGATAACTATGAATATGCGCACCCCCCACCCCACTGGCCTCTTCTGCTAGTGCCTGTCCAGCCTAGGAAATTGTTTACTATATTTTGTTATTTATTGGGCGTTTCCAACGTGTAGTTAGGATTATAAGAACGTTTATTACCACATATCGTCTCGCGTGTGTCGTAGGAGGCGACAGAGGGAAACGGAAACAGGAAATGGGCGGCAGCATTTTCCTGATAACAACTCAAAATCATAAAAACCTGCCTGCGAAGCGTGACAACATTGACTAAATTTCTCCTCAATCAATATTGGGGGTAGCCTATGTTTAGCAGTGACTTCTAAAGGCTCTAATAGATAAATGGATATTTCTTAGTACATACTTGATGTTCTCAAAAATAAATAACTACGAAAGTGTCAAAATATTGGTCTCCTTGCATTGGTCACATAGCAATTCTCGAGGTTTTAAGTTATATATTGCCCACATTGCCTGCTTTTGCAAAATGGGTACTATTTACAATCCAGTTGCTGATCTCCACATAAATATACTGCTAAACATGATTCTGTGGAAGTGAGCAAAGTAGACTAATTTCCGCTTCTTAATCCGTCTTATAACGTAGATCACAGAACTACATTTCGCTTATAAGGCTTAATTCCAATAGAAATTCTGAGAAATTCAGTCGAACTTTCGAAATCTAATTTCTTATCTTGAAAATTAATTACAGCGTTTTAGGGCGAATAAGATAATGCTAACAGTGAACAATTTGTTTTATTGCATTTAAAAGCAAATTGTTAGCTGCAAACCATTTGAAAACAACATTCATTATTTTATTAGGCTGTTTCAGTGCAAAGTCTTTCCTTTTAACCTTAGATAATATTAAAGTACTATGAGAAAAGAGATAAATAGGTATATTTAATGTGTTTTTCAGTGATTTCGTTTGTAGATTTGACATAAAAAAGAACTCCATCTGCTCACACTGACTTGTAATAACTACCCTTCTCTACCTTAAAAGGTATGGTTTAAGGTATTAAACTTCTCCGGTAAGATATAAAGACCAAGGCTCTCGGGTGGTATAAAGCATTTTAAGACTTTCATTTCATTGCGACATTATTCCACACGGAGGATGCAAATTTAAAATTAAAATATTATGATCTTAACATTATTTGAATAATATATTTTTATTTAACGCAAATACTAAACATGGAATAAAATATAGTTTTACGGATTTAATGGCGTATAATTCTATTTTTTCACATTTGAGTCGAGAATAATAAAGTTCAAATTAAGCGCGACAAAATCAGTAAAATTATTATTATTCCATTATTTGAATAAAGTATAGTATTAAATAATCAAATTTTGATACCGTAATTAATTTACTAATAAGTAATTAACTAATAATTTTTTTAAGTAATTAAAATAAATATTAGTAGAGAGGAGAGGTTTGATTTCATCATCATCATCTTCAACAACTAAAACACATAAATAAAGCTTTAATGGATATTAACTAAAAAATAAATTATATTTACTCCTTTAATTAAATAAAACCTTCTTACAACTTATTGCAAACGGACCTATGTCAATATCACAAAGGGGAGAAAAAATTTCCTCTTTCTCCAAAATAATTTTAACTTTTGCTTCCAAAAAACTAACGGCTCTATGAAGATATAAGATACAAATATAATCAAAATAATAATCTTTAGGTTAATTGAAATAATTGCGCAAATTGTCAATGCTAACAAAACGGGTTGCATATTTAATCGCCCATCCAAATCTCTTTCATATTTGTAATGGTGGTACTTATTAATTATTATTTAATACTAAATGGAATCTCTAAAGCATGTGTCAATTGGACTAAATTAATATTGTTATTAATTGTATTATAATATATATATATATATATATATATATATATATATATATATATATATTACGTGTCACTTTGTTTGTCCGCGATGGACTCCTAAAAAATTGTAAAATATCAATGCAATTAGGCTTTTATTCCGTTCATCTGTTACACCTCATTTTTTACCATCTTGATGGTAAAAATATCACCCAGACAAATACAATTTAGAAAGCCTTGGTAGCTCAGATTGTTAGCGCTGTAAATTTCACAGTACACGAGCAGCCTGGGTAGGATCCTCGCCGGCACCAATGAAATTGTTGATTACAATTTTAAGTGCTGATTTACCACGTGCTTTTCAGTGAAGGAAAAAATCGTGAGGAAACTTGCATGTCAGAGAAATAAAAAAAAATATTTCGAAAAATCTGATGTTCGCCAAAACATTGTGGAAGCGCTCAGGACATTTACTTGCCTCAAAACCCTCTAAAAACGAGGGGAGGCCGGTGCACAGCAAAGAAATACCTCTCTTAAGGACACAGATTATAAACGCATAAGCTGTGTCCTTTAACATTAATTTTACGAATATATTTTTAAAAGTATTACATATAACATAAATGTGCGAGAATGTAAATAGATAATAATAGTACATACAAATAGTTATTTTGATATAATCTAAGATGAAAATAGTAATCTTGTGGAGGTGTTATAAAAACCGGTAGAGATTTAGCGCGTAACGGCGATGATTGACATTGTAAAGTATTTAGTTGAGATTGGCCCGGCTTACATTCTGAGAATTGCAAGTGCGAATTGCAAGTACCACCGACAAATGACCAGTGCTTAGGGTGTATTTTATTCACACTAATAACTTGTCACTGCCTGTTCACGCACTTGACATTTATCAGTTATACTTGCCACTTGCACTTGTCACTATACTGTTATATATTACATGGCTTGTAGTTTCGATATAATCTTTAAAAATGACGAAAAAAGGATGCCTTTGGAAGTTATTTGTAGTATCTTCTCAAGTTAAGTAAATCTCTTTTTGAAGCGGTGGTAGATTTGAAAAAAACTACATTTGACAAAAAAAATTAATTTCTTGTGCTCAACCAAATCTTAGAAATACCTTTTGAAGTTTCACATTATTCATTTCGCAATAACTTGGTACACGTGTTCTTACACAATTTAAAATAACTTTTTACGTTAATCCAAAGAACTAAGAAGTTATCTTTATTTCATTACAACATATATATATTTTTCACTAATTTAAAATCGAATCTTTCAAACAAAGCAAAACAAAACAAAAATAACCACATTCGACTTGCGTAAGCTTATCGTTTTTCAATGATATATATAATTATGCATCTTACCATACTGTTTAGATGATTCAAATTAATGTTAATGCGAATAATCGGTAAAAATATTGAAATGATCGAACCTTTACATTTTCGCAGCCAAGAGGGGCATCGACGGAGACTTATTATTCGTCTGGATGAGAGGTCAGCATAAGGTCTATCAGGAAAGGTGCATGATCATCCACATTTGCAATCTGCGTAGGCGAAGTAACCAGTTATGTAAGACCAAATGCCAAAGCAAAGTCATAAAAAAAGTCTCCCCGCATGAACCGAACC